AGCTTGCAAGAGCAGCGCTGGAAGTGATTTTACCCCAGGGCCATCCAATCTCAGCCTGTTGTGCTGCCTCACTGGGCAGTGTCCAGCCCAGGCACCCAGTGTGTGCTGTTAAAGCTCTACTCAGGAAGGCACGGAGTAGGACACTACTTATATCATGTAAGCGATAAGAATATGTCAGAAAAAATAATTCTAACAGGTTGTTAGAAATGAGGATGCTGACGACCCAGTGGGAAAAGTTTGTTTTCTCTCATCAAAGCTGCTAAATTCACCAACATAATGGAAACTAAATGGAGGCTAAACCCGGGAAGCCCTCTTAGAGGAGATGATTTTTTTTTAAAAAACTGAAGCGTTGTGTGTGTTTTTCATTATATCAATCAGGAAAGAAACTGGCTGAGGGAGAATTAGAGGAATTAGTAGGGGAATCTGAAGGAGGAACAAGCTTGATAAATATTCAAGAAAATGAGAAGGTCAATGTGACTGGAACTTGATGGGTGATGGAACAAAGACAATATATATAAAGCTGGAGTGGACAGCAGGAGCAAGGCATGCTCTGGGCAGCGGTGTATTTTTATTGATTTCAGAGAGGGAGAGAGAGAAACATCAATGATGAGAGAGAATCATTGATTGGCTGCCTCCTGCACACCCCCCACTGGGGAGACAGCCCACAAACCATAACCCGGGCATGTGCCCTGACTGGGAATGGAACTGTTACCTCCTGATCCATAGGCTGAGGTTCAACCACTGAGTCATGCTGACTGGGCAGCAGGGGTTTGTTTTTGATGCAATGATGACCCATTGGAGGTTGTAAGCAGGGGCACGATAGAATCTAATTTGTGTTTTAAATAGATCACACTAGCAGTTGGTAAGAAGAGAGGCTAGAAAATAGGTTAAGGGCTATTGAACCAGCCTCTGAGAGACAATGGTGGCGTGGGTGAGGGTGGAGGCAGTGGAGAAGGAAAGGAGAGGGTAGTCTTGAGATGTTCTGGAGCTTCAAAGAGTCAGACACCCTTGGTTGGAAGTGAGAGATCAGAGAAAGGAAGTTAAGTTCAATTCCAAGTTTCTGGCTTTAGTTTCAGGATGAATGATAGTACCATTTAATAATACAGGACAGGCTTGGAGGTTGTCGAGGGTAAGAGAGACCAGGTTTGGAGCGGGAAATGAACAGTTCTTTTTGGACACATTCCGTTTGAGATGTTTATGGAGACATCCAAGTGGAGAACATATAAGCAATTAACTTATGAGCGTGGAGCCCAGAGTGGCTGCTGGTCTGAGGTCATGATGAGTCATCAACATTTAAACAATATTTAAATCCAGGGGACCACCTCAGGCCATGTTGGGAGAAAAAAACTGACCTAGAACTAGGAATTAAGAATCCTATTTCTACAATAATCCTAAAATTTATATGGAACCACTAAAGACCCCGACTACCCACAGCAATCAGAAAGAAGAACAAAGTTGGAGGTATTACACTACCTGATATACTACAAGGTTATAGTAATCAAATCAGCATGGTACTGGCATTAAAACAGACACATAAATCAATGGAACAGAATAGAGAGCCCAGAAATAAACCCATATCTACATGGTCAATTATGACAAAGGCGGCAATAATATACAATGGGGTAAAGGCAATCTTTTCAATAAACGCTGTTGGGAAAACTGTAGATACATGCAAAAAAAATGAAACTAACCATTTTCTTACACCATATACAAGAATAAATTCTAAATGGATTAAATACTTTAAGAACAGAAATCATAAAACTCTTAGAAGAAAACATAGGCAGTAAACTCTTTGACATTGCTCTTAGTAATATATTTTTGACATATTTCCTCAGGCAAGGGGAGCAAAAGAAAAAATAAATACAACTACATCAAACTAAAACATTTTTGCGCAGCAAAGGAAACCATCAACAAAACGAAAAGACAACCTACTGAATGGGAAAAGATATTTGCCAATGATAGATCAGATAAGAGGTTAATATCCAAAATTTATAAAGAATTCATACAACTCAACACCCAAAAAACAAGTAATACAATTAAAAATGGGCAGAGGGCCTGAATAGACATTTCTCCAAAGAGAACATACAGAAGGCCAACAGACATATGAAGAGATGCTCAATGCCACTAATCATCAGAGAAATGCAAATTAAAACCACAATAAGATATCATCTCACACCTGTCAGAAAGGCTGTCATCAATAGGTCAGTAAACAAGTGTTGGCGAGGTTGTGGAAAAAAGGGAACCCTCGAGCACTGTTGGTGGGAATACAGGCTGGTGCAGCCATTGTGGAAAACAGTATGGAGGTTCTTCAAAAAATTAAAACTAGAACTACCTTATAACCCAGCAATCCTACTTCTGGGTACTTATTCAAAGAAATCCAAAACACTAATTTAAAAAGATATATGTATCCCTATGCTCATTGCAACATTATTTACAATAGCCAAGATATGGAAACAACCTAAGTGTCCATTAATAGACAATTGGATAAAGAAGAAGTGGTATATACGTATATACAATGGAATATTACTTGTCCATAAAAAATGAAACCTTACCATTTGCAGAAACATGGACAGACCTAGAGGGTATTATGCTAAGTGAAATAAGTCAAACAGAAAAAGACAAATGCCAGGGGATTTCACTTACATGTGGAATATAAAGAACAAAACAAACAAACAAACAAAAATACCAGAAACAGACTCATAGATACAGAGAACAAACTGATGGCTGCAGTATGAGAGAGGGTTTAGGGGTTTGAGTGAAAAAGGTGAAGGGATTAAGAAGTGCAAATTGACAGTTACAAAATAGTCATGGGGATGTAAAGTACAGCATAGGGAATAGAGTTACTTATATTGTAATAAATATGTAGGGTGCCAGGTGGGTAGTAAACTTATCTGAGGGATCACTTCATCTATATATATAAAAGTCTAAGTGACTGTTACTACCGAACGACCTAAACGACTGGAATAACCGGTCAACCAGTCGCTATGACATGCACTGACCACCAGGGGGCAGACGCTCAATGCAGGAGCTGCCCCCTGGTGGTCAGTGCACTCCCACAGCCAACCTCCCCTCCCCAGTCCCTTCCCCCATCTTGCAGGCCCCGGCCAGCCCGGCCCCTATCGGGACTGGGCGAGACGGCCCCAATAGGCCCTGATTGCCAGCCAGGCCTAGGGACCCCACCCGTACACGAATTTCATGCACTAGGCCTCTAGTAAGTTATGTAATTGTCTAACCACTATACTGTACTCCTGAAGCTAATATAATATCGAATGTCAACTGTAATTGAAAATGTTTTAATTAAAAATAAAAAAAGAATCCTAGTTCTAGAATGGGTCAAAGAGGAGTGTGAGGAGAATCAAAACAGGCAGTTGTGGAGGGTACTGTTGCGATGAGAGGGAGGGGCAAGCGAGAGATGGATGAGGCAGAGAGAGAAGTGAGGGCAGGAGAAGGGGAGACAGACAGATGGGGTCTAGCTTTTGAAAGGAAGAGGGACCCTCCTCCACTGCCCTGGAAGGAAGACAGTGGAGATGGGTGAGATGTAGGTCAAGCTGTCTGGAAGGTGAGGGAGTGACTGATGATGGCTTCTATTTTCTCAAGAAAGAATGAAGTGAGGAGACAAGAGTGAGAGTCTTTGAGGAGAACAATAAACCAGACTTCCCAGGATGAGAGAGGGTGTATGACAGGCCATTTAGGCACCCATTTGAGGTTCAAAGTGAAGCCAGTCAGCCCAGCAAACACCAGGGATATTCTAAAGGGATTCTAGTCATTTTCTCAAACGTTGCAGGCTTGTTTTGCAGAGCAGCTGAAACCATACTGCACATACAATTTTATATCCTGCTGCTTTACACTTTACGGGCCAGGAGGAGCATTTCCCCGTGCCTTCATAAATTCTTTGCAAACATCGATTTTAATTCTTAGAAATAATCCGCAGAGTGGATGTTCCATGGGTCATTTAACCTTCCCCCCTTTTATTGGACGTTTCAATTGTTTCCTGGCGATGACTATTGCCATTCCGAAAGAGGCGGCGTGTGTCTGGTTAAGAAAAAAGCAAGTAAGTTACAAGGCAGAGCTGGGACGGCTGGCACTCTGGCGCCTGGGACCCATCAGGGAAGCATGGGAATTGGTGTTCCTGTGAGGTCACAGGCTGGGTTTTCCTGGACTTGAGGACAAAGAATGGAATAGCAAAGTAAATATCTCTGGCTTCTCAAAGTGCCCATGGTTCAGGTGTGGAGCATGGGAGAATGAAGGTGGGGAGAGGGTCCCGGAGAAAAGGGAGGGCCAGGTGTATGACCCCTGAACCGTTTACAGTTTAAACATGTATTGCAACAGTCATGTTTGAGGTGACAACAGGGCCCTTTTCGTGCCTGTTTCCCCCATAATAGAAGTCCTTCTGCCACCCCACCCTTCCTGGAGGGGGCACTGCCCCAGCACACCTGGCCATGGGCACAGTATCTAGGGACCCAGGTGCCCTCCACAAAGCCCAGCTGTGTGAGGATGGAGTGAGTGAAATAATGGGCTCACCTGCCCAACAGAGGCTGGGGTGGGGGGCACTTGGTGGGATGTTTTCCAGGGGAGCCAGCCCTCGGTGGAGGCAGATATCTCTGGGACTGGCCCAGACCCCTTCCAACTTTGAGGTTCTGTGATTCAACAGTGCAGCACTCACTGAAGCCCCACTGTGAGCTAGGGACAGAGAAGTAATCCCCTACTGATGGAGTGCCTACTGTGTGCCAAACACTGGGCTTCCTGTGCATGCTGTCACCTCATGTCAGGACAGGCCAATGAGGAAAGCATCATCACCCATCTAAGAGGGGGGAGCCAGGAGGGGCAGCCCCAGGCCTCCCCTGCAGCACAGGGTGCCTGAGGGAGAACCCCACAGCATAACCCTTTCCTGTAGCATTTATGCCCCATGAGAAAAGGGCCTGGGTAGCAGGTGTTAGGCACCAGGTGGCACCTGGTAGCTGAGGTGAGAGGTTCTGTCTTAGAGCCAAGGAGTTCAGTGTCCCCACCCCTTGGGCTGGTGGGGGCAGAGCCAGAGGCCAAGGGGTGCCAGGTCTTGTTTGTGTGTGTTTGTGGGACTTGAGTTTCTGATAGATGATAATCATTGCCAGGCCTCCCCAGCTGGAACTGGAGCAGGCACAGTGCCAGGGCCTACCGCCCTCAGGACAAGTATAAGAGCCAAAGAGGACCTGGAGCCGGGCCAGGACAGAGGTGCCAGCCACCTGCAGGGACACCAGGGTGCAGAGCTAAAGCTGCGGCATTCAGACCGCCAGGTGGGCAGGGTCGGCTCTGGAAGTGGCCCCCTGTCTGGAAGGTCTGGGAGATGCCCTAAGGAAACCACTGGGCTGCACTGGTTGGAGGAAGTCACCCGAAGTTTAACTCAGCAGGGTGAGTACATTGCCATGGTTCCTGCCTTTCCCCACAAGCTCCTGGCCCTACGAGTGACTATCTGTCCCAGAGGTGCCAAATGGAGACCGAGTGGCCACTTGTCAGGAATTTGAGCCCTGGATCTCTCAAAGAAGCAGTGTGTGTGTGTGTGTGTGTGTGTGTGTGTGTGTGTGTGTGTGTGTGTGTGTGTGTGTGTGTGTGTGTGTGTCTGTGTCTGTGTGTTATGGGGGGGTGGGTAAGTAGCAGAAGCACTATCATTTATCCTGTGCTCACCAAACACTGGGCACTGTGGGTTATCTCACTAAGTTGAAGCCAGAGGATGGAGGCCTGGCTTCGCATCCCAGTTCTCGAGGTATTACCTTCATTGACTCTTACAACAGCCCTATGAGGTAGATATTTTACAGATGAGGAGACAGAAGCACAGAGATGTTAAGTTACTTGCCCACAGACACACAGCAAGTAAGTGGCAAAACCAGGATTTGAACTCTGCCTCCAAAGCCTGTGCCCTTAACCTCCGTATTATGCTATCATGTGGCTGTGGTAAGTCCCTTCCACTTTCTGAGGGGCAGTTCCCTTATCCTAGTTTGAGTGTGTAAGATATTGGCGTGAGATTCCCTAAAGGTACCTGGACATGGGTCAGCTTTAAACATCAGGAAACCTTTTTGGAAACATTTGTCAAGAACTATGTGTTTAATAACTTTTGATCCAGCATTCAACTTTAGAAATTTATCATGAAGGACATAATCGGATTTATGAATAAGGAAGTTCATTATAGTTTTCCTTTTAATCACAGAAAATTAGAAGCAAACAAATTTGAGGAAAAAAATATGTACATCCTATGATGAAATAATAAGCAGCAGCACATGTTCTTGGGAAATTCTCATTTGTTATGTGGAAAAAGCACTTTATAAAACTATGCATGGGTATGATCTATTTATAAATATGTGTATACATAGGTTTATGGAACAAATATAAAAAACTAGAAAAAATATCCCTAGGGGTTGAGAGTTTATCTCTGAGAGATGGAAGATTGAATATTTTTATATTTTTCTTTATTCATGTCTAGATTCCTCAAATTTTCTACAAAAATACACGTGTACTACTTTTTAAAAAAAATATATCTTATTGGGTTTTTTTACAGAGAGGAAGGGAGAGGGATAGAGCGTTAGAAACATCAATGAGAGAGAAACATCGATCAGCTGCCTCCTGCACACTCCCTACTGGGAATGTGTCCGCAACCAAGGTACTTGCCCTTGACCGAAATCGAACCTGGGACCCTTGAGTCCGCAAGCCAACACTCTATCCATTGAGCCAAACCGGTTAGGGCATGTACTACTTTTTTAATTAGAAAAATTAAGGTTTTTTTTTTTTTAAACTATGGTTTTATTGATCTTTTTTATTTTTAGAAAGAAAGGGAGAGGAATAGAGAGATCAAAACATGAGAAAGAAACAGTGATTGGCTGCCTCCTGCACGCCCCTACTTGGGATGGAGCCCACCACCAGGGCATGTGCTGCTGACTGGCCTCCTGGTTCATGGGTTGGTGCTCAACCACTGAGCCACACCAGCCGGGCTGCTTCTGTTTTTTTAAATCCGATTTTTGGCCTTGGGCAGCCCTTCTCTGTTATATTGCACTCGTTGGCTTGAACAGGGAACTGAATCTCAGGCTGTCCGTATTGCGAGGGTCCAACATGTTATATGTGGGGAAAGTGAGGCCCAGGGGTGCAAGGGACTTGTCCAAAGTTCCTAGGCCAGACTGCTAGAAGGGCAAGGAGGCAGAAGGGAACCACTCCTAGAATTTACTGTTTGTGGCTAACGTGTGTTCATAACTAACATGCAAGTGAGGCCGTGAATGTCGAGTGTAGCTGACCTCACAGACACACCCAGTGACGACTCAGGCTGGGAGTGACAAGCGAGAGTGAGCAAAGGGCAGCTGGCTGAGCACAGAGCAAGCCAGGTGTGTCCCAGACTTCTACCTCTCATCTGTCAGCCTCGCCCAGGGGCGCTTCCTCCCGGCAGGACTGAGGCCTCGCTCGCTCACTGCTGGCGGCTGGATTCAGACAGGAGAATGAAAGGACTTCGCTGGCGTTACACTCGGCTGGTAAGGGGTCCAGCTTGGGCTGGGTGTTAGGTCAGGAAAGGTGGGGGAAGGTAAGCTCTCGGGCAGGGTGGGGCCTGAGCTAGGGATGAATGCAGGCAGGCGATTTGTTCCTCTTCCAAGTCCCTCTCCAGCTGGCCTGGGGTTCAGAGCAGGAACTCAGGAACCCAGGGCCTTCGCTCCCAGACCCACGGTCCTGAGACCCCCAAGGAGCATAGACTGCTGTTCCGTTTCTTCCTCCCTCGAGTGGGTGCCAGACGGAGCTCTGTCCAGAAGCCCCACACAGCTAGGACCCCCTCCTTAGGCCTGAACCTGGGGAATAGGAAAGCAATGTCTGAAACAGCGTGGAAGCTCGAGTGAGTGAATGAATGAATGCATGCATGCATGAATGAATGAATGTAATAACATACATGCCCCCTGACTCACATACATATAGAGGGTATCCCCCAAAAATGTATGCACACTTTAACAGCTGATAATTCACTGAATTTTCACTCCTTTCCAGGTTTATCTGACTTGAAATAATGGGTGAAGCCAGACTAAGCTTTGAACAAAGAAAATTTATCCTAAAATGCCACTAGACTTGTTTTTAATGGGGATCCATAAAAGATAAAGTTTATGGTTCAAAACCAACAACAATCCACAAATTGAGGGTACACAAATACTAAACAAAATGATTCTTTTTAAAAATGTTTTCAAGCATATTAACCCTTTTCTTCTTTTTTAAAAATATGTTTTTATTGATTTCAGAGTGAGGAAGGGGGAGGTAGAGAGACAGAAACATCAATGATGAGAGAGAATCATTGATCAGCTGCCTCCTGCACACCCCCCACTGGGGATCGAGCCTGCAACCCTGGCATGTGCCCTGACTGGGAATCGAACCATGACCTCCTGGTTCATAGGTTGATGCTCAACCACTGAGCCATGCCTGCTGGGCCGAAATGATTCTTGATGTTTGCAATTCCATTACTTCGAGTTACCAGCAGTGCCTGGACCAGAACAGTCATCAGTTTGAAAACAGGCATTGACAAAAAAAATTATTCATTTCTGTAGATTCTTTTGAATTTTGAAAATGAACTGTATGTTAATAAACACCGACTTTATAATCATTCGAAGTGTGTATACATTTTGGGGGGACACCTTGTATTTATACAATTCCAACTCATACTCACAAATACATTGACAGGTAAACACAAAGTTACACTCAACACCTTCTCACACTGATTTGCCTGCACAACTCTAGTTTAAGGGAACACACACATTCACATGGACAATCGCACATTTTACACGAAACTGCACACGCCTCACCTATGACAACATGATTGTTTCACTGGCTGACGGGGGTCTCATTGTCTTCCTTTGTAAAATGGGAATAATAAGCAGCACATTCTTAGGATTCTTGGGGAAATTCGGAGAGATCGTGCACAGCTAGCACTTCACAAGGGCCTGGACAAGTGTGTGCTGATCAATGTCAGCCACTCTAGTTATTATTATTATGATCACTAGAAGCCCAATGAACAAAATTTCATGCCAAGAGTAGGCCTTCCTTCCCCCGGCTGCTGGCACCTGCTTCCCTCTGGCACTGGGACCCGGGCTTCCCTTGCAGCCCTGGCTTTGTCCAGAAGGTCATCCAGAAGGACATCTGGAAGGACGTCTGGTCTAATTAGCATATTATACTTTTATTATTATAGATGATTTCATGTACAATTTCACACAGCACCCAGGGCTGGGCTGTCACCTGCCCTTCTCTCCTGCCCCCGAGCTGAGAACTGGATCCCTGGCACCCACCCTGGGTCCAGAGCACACAGGCAGACAAACCACAGGGCCCAGGGCCACATCTGATGGGCGTGTGTGATTCCAACCTTTAGCTAGCAGGTACCAGGGAGGAAGCCGGCTGGCAGGACTGAGTCTTGTCTGTGATGGACACTTCCCAGCCTCCTCTGGCTGGGCTGGCAGGGGCCTGGGCAGGGGTGGCTGAGGCTCTCAGGCCTGGGAGATGTGGGAGCTGGTGTCTTCTGTGCCTTGACTCGCCAGGCCTCTTTGTGTCTTCACAGCCCAGCCAAGTGGAGGACACTCTATCTGGAGAGGAGGGTGAGGAGGGGGAAGAGGAAGAGGAGAAGGAGGCAGCCCCAGCTCCAGCCCCAGCTCCTGAAGATCCCGTGGAGCCCCAGTTGGCAGAAGCCAGCCAGGTTCTGGGAGCCTCAGAGATTAGGCAGGTTCGGCCTGGTTTATGGTGCAAGGATTTCAGCCCTGAGACCGAGAGTCCCACCCGCCTGTCCTACTCCCAGCCAGGTCCAAGGACACCTGGGATCACTCCTGCTCTGAACCCCGCTCACTGTGTCACCCTGGCAAATCATTTCTCCTCTGGGCTTTCCTTTCCCACTTGTCAAACAATCCAGTAATACCAGTCACCGTCTTCACTGGGCCAAGAAGTGAAGGATAGATGAAATAAGCTAATGTTTAAGTAGAACCAGTCCTTGGGAACTGAAGCCAAACTTGGGGTAGGGATGAGAGGATGAGGGGAGGGGGATTAGGAGGAGGGATTCAGCATCTCATCTATTCTCCAGCCACTAGAGGCCAGGGTGACCAAGGAGAGAGAAAACTGACCTGGGTTCAAATCCTGACTCTGCCACTTGCTGCCCATGTGGGCTTTAGACAAGCTGACCACCTCCCCTAGCCTCATCTGTAAAATAGTCCCTCTCTGAGGGCTACTCCTAACAGGTGTGAAAGTCCCCGGGAAACAGGAAACCACTCTGTAGACTATAAAGTACCTTGCTTGTGTGAGTGGGACCCCCCGGGGATAGTAAAAGGAGACTGGGAGGACAGGGATCCCCCCACTCACCTCTGGACCTGTCCCCAGCTCAGCCTCCACCTCCCCCCGAGAGTCACTGGATATTCTTGGAGTCTGGCCTTCTGCACGGCAAGGGACGGCTTCAGTCTGCAGAGCCTGTACAGGCAGATGGAGGGCCACAGTGGGCCTGTGCTGCTGGTGCTGAAGGACCAGGATGGGCAGGTGAGCCGGGCTGGGGAGTGTTAAGGAAAGGATGTGTGTAGATGGGCCCTTGGGGGCCTCTCCACCCTCCAGCACTGCCCCAGGCTCCCCGATTGCCCCTCCAGGATGAGCCTATATCACCAAGCTTGGAAATTGGGTTTCCAGAGGATCACCTATTTCCTTCCAGCTGCAAAATGCAAGCTCTTCTGCTTTCCAGATATTTGGGGCCTTCTCCTCCTCCGCTTTTCGACTCAGCAAAGGCTTCTATGGTACTGGCGAGACATTCCTCTTCTCCTTCTCCCCACAGCTGAAGGTGATGTTCCCACCCTTGCGGAAGGGGGTGGAAGGGGTCTATGGCAGGACAAAGATCCCAGGGTCTCAGTGGCCCCCAGCTCCATCCCCTGTGCTGGGGTGCCTGGTGTCCTCCAATCTTCCCACAGAGGGAAGGCAGGAGGGCAGTGGTAGGCAGAACACCCCCCTTGGCCTGCCCATCGTTGTGTGTGTTTGTTTAAATACTCAGTAGGTCCTTGGCAACCACTTACTGGCTCTGAGAGGAAGAGGTTTGTTGCTCACCAGATACAGGCTGGAAAGACAAGTTTAGTCGAAGTGCAGGTAGATCTGGGGGCGCTGCGAGCAAGGATGGAGGAGGAGGTGTGAAGGTTGAGGGGAGAGAAAGTATCAACTAGTGATCACGAGAGTGGAAAGGGAAGCCCATGAGAGAAAACTAGAGACACGGAAGGACAGCCAGGCAATGCTGATGGGAGGGTTGAGACTGAATTTTAAAGCAAGCCAGGTACTTTGACATGTGCTTCCCTCCAGCAACGTTCAACTCTTCAGGTTCAGGCAAAGGAGAGCGTGCAGAGTGGAGGGAGGGTTCATCCATGAGGGGTTTGGCCAAGCTGTTTTAACCGAGGAGAGAGGGAAAAGGAAGTTGAAGGGAGTGGAAATACAAGATGGAGGGAGAAATAGTGCTGGATACTTTGGTTTGTGATTAGGTACCTCCTCTCCAGTGCACAGACCAAGACACCTACAGACACATCCAGCAGCACAAACATCTGGTCGCATGACAAGGAGGTCACAAGGAGCTAGGGACTGCCTTGCTATAGGCGAATGCACCTTATCTATTGCATTGCCTGGTAATCTCATCAGGAAAGAGGAAAGGGGTCAGTTGTCCATAGTGAAGCCATGCTGGAGACTAGTCATCGCCTCCTGCCTTCTGGGGTTCACATACTAGAATTCTAGAATTTTCCTCTTACTGAACTGACAACTCCTTGGCAGAATTCTTTGTTCCTCCTCATCTTCCCCAACCTTTTAATGTCAGAGATCCTAGAGCTCAGTTTTGGGTTCTCCGCTCTTCTCTGATTACCCTCTTTTTCTTCAAGGTCCTATCCATTCTTACAGTTTTCTGTGCTGTCCATGTGCTCATGGCCTCTTCCCCTGGACTCCAAACTCACATCTATCCAAACACTATCCAGTGGCTCCACAAATCTCAAACATGGCATTTCAGATCTCACATGTCCAAAGCTGACTTTCCCCCATAAAACAGCGCCTCCTGCCATCTTCCCCAACAAAGTTAATTGGCACCTCCATCTTCCCCGCTGCTGAGACCAAAAATTTTGGAGTCCTTCTTAACATCTCTTCTACACTTCACATCTGAGCTGTCAACGAATTTTGACTGTCCTGCCTTCTCTTTCTATCTATATCCAGAATCCACCACTTTTCACCATGCCCTTTGCAGTCATCATGGTTCAAGCCACCATCATTATTTGCCTGTGCTCTTGCTCTAGCCTCCTACTGCTTCTACCTTCAATCATCACAGTAGATGAAATGATCCCTTTAAAAGCTAAGTCAGAGCATGTCACTGACTCCATGCTGCCAATGGCTTCCTTTCTCACTCCGAGAAAAGCCAAAGTCTTAAAATAACTTACAAGTCCCCAAATCTTCTGACCTCTCACTATTCTTTCTTTTTAAATGTTTTTATTGATTTTTAGAGAGAGAGAAAGGAAGATAAAAAGAAACATCAATGAGAGAGAAACATCACCGATTGGCTGCCTCCTGCATACTCCCTACTGGGGATTGAGCCCTCACTTGGGTATGTGCCCTGACTGGGAATCAAACCAGTGACCTTTGGTTCATGGATTGACACTCAACCATTGAGCCACACCAGCTAGGTTGTTGTTGTTTCTTGCTACTTTTTCTTTACCTCATTATTTTCTAGCCACACTGACCTCTGAGCTGGTCATTAAACACGCTGGCCTATTACCTCAGGGCCTTTGTACATGATGTTCTGCCTATAGCGCCCTCCATTGGGTCTCCACAAGGCTTAGTTCTCACCTCCTTCAGTTCTCAAATGTCACCATCTCAGAGAGGCCTTCCCTGGTCACCTGATTTAAATTTATAATACTCCACCCCCAGGAAACCCTGTTAGTCCTTTTCTACCTTTTTACTTCACTCTTTTTAAAAATATATATATATTTTATTGATTTTTTTACAGAGAGGAAGGGAGAGAGATAGAGAGCTAGAAACATCGATCTGCTGCCTCCTGCACATCTTCCACAGGGGAAGTGCCCACAACCCAGGTACATGCCCTTGACCGGAATCGAACCTGGGACCTTTCAGTCCGCAGGCTGACACTCTATCCACTGAGCCAAACCGGTTTCAGCTTTTCTACCTTTTTCTACTTAGCATTTGTCACCACCTAACACACTATTTATTTTACTTATGGATTTGCCTCCTCCAACTAGAATGGAAGTCCCATGAGGTAGGCATTTTTGTCTGTTATGGTCACCATTCTACCCATTACCTAAAACAGTACCTGCTGCTAAATGCTAAAAAAAACAAATGAGTAATTTTCTCAGGGGCTTGCTATCTGTCTTCCTAGCCTATCGTTATGAAGTCTTACTTTTCAAAAATTGGTTAATTTGTGCCTGTCTTTGATCTTTTGGGACTTACGTTCTTCATGAATTCCCAGCAGTTCCTTGATCACTACTCCAAGCAGCATCATGAAGATGGTCTTAATTTCTTCTGTAGCAATGTTTACCTTACTCCTTCAAGTTCAAAGGCCATGTTCCTTGATGAAAGTAGAAGAGGACTTGAATGGTTCTGTCTTCTCATGGTCACTTGTTAATATTATCTCATCTCTTCTGAGACCAGGCTTATCTTTTATTAGTCCATTTATTTATTTATTTATTTTTGCTAAAAACCCTTTGGTTGTTCATCGCATTTTTTTTACAACTAATTATAGGCAATAATATACTATGCTTTTGCAGCCCCCTTTTTAAAAAATATATTTTATTGATTTTTTACAGAGAGAAAGGGAGAGAGATAGAGAGTTAGAAACATCGATGAGAGAGAAACATCGATCAGCTGCCTCCTGCACATCTCCTAATGGGGATGTGCCCGCAACCCAGGTACATGCCCTTGACTGGAATCGAACCTGGGACCTTTCAGTCCGAAGGCCGATGCTCTATCCACTGAGCCAAACCGGTTTCGGCTTTTGCAGCCCTTTTAAAAATCTTTGTATTAACTGAATTAACTCGAGTAATTTATTTGTTCAACAAACGTCTATACCGCCCTGGCTGTGTAGCTCAGTTGGTTAGAGCATTGTCCTGATACGCCAAGGTTGCAGTTTCAATCTCCATTCAGGGTACATACAAGACGCAACCAATGAATGCATAAGTAAGTAGAACAACAAATCAATGTTTCTCTCTCTCAAAAAAATCAATAAAAACAAACAAACAAACAAACAAACTAGAAAACACATCTATACCATGTCTTAGGAATACTGCCAGGAATCAAGACAGCCCTCACAGAGCTTATATGGTAGGGGGCAAGCAATGACACCTGAACAGGGCACCTCAGTGAGAAAGGAAAAAGGGTCTGGGAGGAAGGGCTACTTTAGATAGGGTGGTCCAGGAAATATTTCTGGGATGACATTTGAGATGAAGGATGAGAAGTGAGCCATTTGAGGATCTGCAGGAAGACCATCTGGGCATAGGGACCAGAAGGCGTGAAGGTCCTGAAGAGGGAATAGCTTTGGGTGTCCCAGGGACAGAAAGGCCGGTGTAGCTGAAGTGCAGTCAGAAAGGAAGGGGAAAGGTCAGAGAGAAAATCAGGGGTCCGAGCTGGCTTGGCTTCCAGCTACAGTGAGGAGTTGGATTTTGTTCCCATTGCACTAGGAAGCCATTGGAGGGTTTTAGGCAGAGGAATGATAATATCTGATTCGATTCTGAATCGGTCACTCCGAGTGCAGTGTAGAGATGGGCTGTGGGCAGGAGACAGTGGAAGCTGTGATCCAGCAAGGAGTGACTTGGCATGGATGTGTGGGCAAGAATGAGTAGAGATGGATAGGACAGAAATGGTGGTAGTCAGGGGGTGTCTGGGGTGGGCCTGCAAGACTTCTGAGGAGCTGGTGTGAGGCAGCACTGGGGGATGGGCAGGCTTGGTGCTACCTCCAGTGAGAGATGAGGGGACAGTTAGTTAATGGTAGAATTAGGGCCCAACTCCTGACCCTACCTTCTGTGGGCTTTTCCCCTCCTCTCTCCAGCTTTGGAAGCAGTAAGCCTTAGAGGTTCTGTTCTATTACTAGAACAGAGGGGCTGTGGGATTCAGACTGGAGAGCAAGAGGAGGTGAACTCCAGAGAGAATGGCAAAAAATTTCAAGAGCCAGGAGCCTAGAATACTTCCTGGGCTTAGTTGGGGCCTGGATGTCCCATTCCCTTTACAATACTGCCACCCAGTGGTGTGGAGTTGAACTGCAGGGCAGTAACTGGAACCTTTTCCTGTCACGCCAGGTCTTTAAGTGGACAGGAAGCAACTCTTTCTTTGTGAAAGGAGACTTGGATTCACTGATGATGGGCAGTGGCAGGTGGGTGTCTCAGTCCTCCCTGAGTCTCAGGGTGGTCTGTGTTCTGGTCCCTTCTTCTATCCAGAAAGGCTGAGCTAGGTTGTCTCATAAAATGAGGAGGCTAGTGGTTCACTTTCAGGCCTCTCCCTTCAGCAGCCCCTCAACTTCCCTCTAAGACAGAGGTTCTCAACCTGTGGGTCACGACCCCTTTGGGGGTCGAACGACCCTTTCACAGGGGTCGCCTAAGACCATCGGAAAACACATATATAATTACATATTGTTTTTGTGATTAATCACTATGCTTTAATTATGTTCAATTTATAACAATGAAATTGGGGGTCACCACAACATGAGGAACCATATAAAAGGGTCGTGGCATTAGGAAGGTTGAGAACCACTGCTCTAAGACAACATTGAAGAAAAAGGATGGCATGGACCCTCCCTCTGAGTGTTTGCAGTCGGTGACCACTTAGTCCGAATTTATGTCACTTTGGGAAGAGCATTCCACGTGGTTGGATGAGGCTAGCCTCAAATTTACCTGTCAGCACCGTGATCCTAGGGAACGTAACTCACTGGAGTCTGCCCAGGAACCCTGCCTAAGGGTGTGTATATGTGTGTGTTGGGGGTGGGAAGTGGAGTGGGTTAGGAAGAAAAGGTTAGTCTTGCCCCTGGTATGACCTGCAAATTGAGGCAGAATCAATCCTATCCTGAGGACAAAGATGACAACACCAATCAGGACCAAGCAGCTGCTCTCCCAGCTGCCTGAACAGCCTTCAGAGGCAGCTGGACACAGAACACACCAGCTTTTTCTGACTTGCAGTAACTCACTTCCCAGCTCCAGCCTAGGTTTGCTGTCAGGTGAAGGAGTTAACGTGGATGCTCTCTGAAGTGTTTTGGGCTCAGAGTCCACACCTCTGAGATTCACTCCTTTGGTTAAACCTTGCTATCTGGCCCTAGCCGGTTTGGCTCAGTGGTTGGAGCGTTGACCCACGGGGGTCCTGAGTTTGATTCAGGTCAAGGGCAGGCTCGATTCTCCACACTCCAGGGCATGTGCAGGAGGCAAAAGGCAAACAATGAATGTCTTTCTCACGTCAATGTTTATCTCTCTATATCTCTCCCTCTCTTTTCTACTCTCTCTAAAAATCAATGGAAAAAATATCCTTGGGTGAGGATTACCAAAGCAACAAAAAGCAAAAATAGAAAACAAACCTTGCCATCTTAAATACATTCCAAATGGTTCTAAAACTGTGGTGAGCGTTGCACCACTGTATATATTTATTAAAACCACTGAACTGTAAAAAAAAAAAAAATACTCTAAAACCTGTGGGGAATAACGTGTGGAGTCTCCAACAATTCAGGATAAATCGGTTTAAGGGACTTTGAAATATAAGCCGTCATGGTGTGGGTCTGAAAGGTCTCAACACCCAGGAGAGAGCCATGCCAAGACTTTCCTCTTCTCTTTAGTGGCCAGTTTGGGCTGTGGTTGGATGGAGACTTGTATCACGGAGGAAGCCACCCCTGTGCGACCTTCAACAATGAGGTGCTGGCCCGGCAGGAGCAGTTCTGCATCAAGGAGCTGGAGGCCTGGGTTCTGAGCTGATGGCCCCACAGTGGGCAGCTTCCTGAGGTAGCAGGTGCTCCGACCTGCTCATGGATGCCGTCCAGGCCCTTACACGGGGCAGGCCATTCTGTCCAAAACACAATGGTGAAGTGTCCTAGTGCCGACTGTGGCTGTGAGCCAGCCTCCCGGTGGCCTGGGGACCCAAGACAGGCACGGGGCCGAAACGGAAGGAGCGAAAGCCAATTACACCTCACCTGAGCAGGGCAAAGTCCCTCATGAAAATTATCTTCTAAAAAATTATGCAATGAATACATGTTTATTGTAGAAAAAAAAACAGAAGACATTAAAAACTTAAATTGCCTAAAATTTAACCACCCCCCAAAACACTACCATTTTCATGTACAGTGGGGCCTTGACTTAGGAGTGTCCCGACTAACGAGTTTTTCGAGATACGAGCCGTCTCTCGGCCGATTTTTTGCTTTGAGTTGCGAGCTAAAATTCGGGTTACGAGCCAGCTTCAGATACCCCACTGCTAGTTGACGCAGCGAACGTCACAGTGAACGCTACAACATCAGCCCAGCATCACGTGTCTCACTCGTTCACTTTTTGATTTGACATACAAGTAATTTGAGTTACGAGCTCCGTCACGGAACGAATTAAACTCGTAAGTCAAGGCCCCACTGTATATCCTTCCAGATAATTTTTCATGGAGATATATATGTATATCTTACAAAAATGGGATTCTACTCTATATATTTTGGAAATTATTTTAACTTAAAGACTATTGTCAAACCACAGACACCTGGGCTTAGTGAAACTAATAAAGACTCTAGTAGTATCATTCTTTTTCTAGAACAATGAGGGCTGTGTGCCGGGTACTTGCAAATCTAATTTCATGAGGAAGATATGAAAGCGGCAAATGAACACTATGCATATTTAATAAAGAAACTAAAACTCTGTAGATGGGAACCTTGGGGAGTTTAAAACAGAGGGAGGATATGTTTTCAGGCACAACAGGAGCTCAGAAAACTAAGAAAAATCCATATCCCTTCCCATACTTGTACCCACCTCCTACCAGAGGAAAACATTCTTTATTATGCTATTGTTCACCATAATTGATTAAGAAAAGTTAAATAACATACATCCTGTTAAATATCATCCCCTCTCTCACAGACCCAACATAGCATTGAGGTACTAAAAACTATCTGGGTAAATTCCTAGACCTGTTTCCTTGGCACAAAAAGGTCAAAACTGGGCACAGTGTGAGAGTCATTAAGGAAGACATCTTTGGTTTTAAGATGGAGATACATTATGAAGCTTTATTGCAGGTATTAAATATTTACCTAAATTAAGTAACCAGTCATTTAAACTTGCAGTTCTGTTTACAGTCTCAAGGTGATAAGATTCAGTAACTCCAAAGACTAAGCTGTTAAAGTCTCCATTTTTATACAAACAGTGATGATGTTTCTTAAAATAAATCTAACCTTGTAAATGACACATGGTTCTCATCATTAAAATAATTGTAAAAAGCATAAAGTGCAGCTGCCTTATATGCAATAGATTTAAGTTATTTATCAGGACAATGATACAGTATTGGGACTACAAAATTCCAAAGTAAACCACAATGATTTAAAGGTAGGAGTTGCAAAAATAAAACAATCTTAGCAGAAAAACTACATTCTTAACTGTGGGTCTGGGTACACAAAGTCTGAAGTCCAGAGTGCTCCTCACTGGATGTTGTAGAGGCACCAGGGCCAAAACAGGTATGGCCCGTACCATGGCTGACTTCACCTGTGCTTCTCCAGCCCCCATGTGAACACATCCCCACCCACATGGCATCACAGTGGAAGTGAGAAAAGGGTTTTAATTATTCTATTAATTAGGGTCAACTCTTGATTATCTATATCGGGGTGGAGGAGGGGGAGTGAGACTATATAGAACGGCAGACATTCCAAATATTTTTCACTCTAGTGTCAACAGAACCTGGTTATATAGTGGGAGGTGGCATCACTCCTAAGAGTTGGGATAATCTGCTGGCCTGTGTTCGAATTCCTCCCTTCCTCCACTCACTCCTGCCACAGCCAGGGCTGGCTCCCATAAGAGGTGAAGGGCTCACAAAAAATGACTCCCATTCCTCACTACCTTGCATCTTCAGGATCCTCTGGCCACCACTGGCTTTGGCTCTAACTCTAGACTTTGCTCTTGGTGAATTTCTGTAGAACTGGACATGTGCGTGGGGGTGGGATGGGCACGTTGCTCAGCACAGGAGCACTGCTCAACCACAGTGGCGTCCACTCCACAGCTAAAGGTAACGGAATCAATTTACAAAGGGGAACCTGGAATTCCCTGGGTAATCACTCAGCTCAGCACAGGCAGTTCCATCTTTGCTCTGAAACCATAAAATGCACTGAACCAGCACCAACCAAGTCCAGCTCTGAGCAGCCCTGGGGAGGGTTCCTGTGACGGCCTCTGCTCAGCTCCCGAGATGCAGGAGCAAGTCGGAGGGGAGCTCCTTTTCCAGGCTGGGCAGTGGTATAGCCAAGACTTGGGCAGTGAGTATTTAGGAGAGAAAGAAACTGCCTGGGTCTGGAGCCACAACTGACCCAGAGGACAGCCTGGTTTGGGGGATCCCTCTGCCACTGAGGGTAGGGTCTCTTAAAAGGTATTTTATGTCCCACTTCAGAGGCCAGAGTCCTCTGATTTTTTCAATAATTTAATCAGGCTTCTCACCGAAGAGTTGGAGCCCACTCCTGGTTCTCATCTCTTACTGCTTACCCCAACTGGGCTAAAAGGGTGAGGGAAGGTGTCTTTCTCTAATGTTTAGATCACTTAAGGGGAGACATCCTCAAGGTGACATTTCCTCAGAGGCTAGGATTTCGGTTGGTTTTAACCTTTGCTGTTCATGACAATCGCAACTTCAAATTCCAATGTGTACCCTTGTATCACTTCCAATTTTTTTTTTTTTTAAAAACAATCATATGTCACAAAAGTTTTCTAAGAAAATAGACTACTAAAAGAGAAAGGCTTTAATTAATACTAAAAATAGGTAAGGTTTTTTTTTATAGCATACATAGCAAGATTTGCCTATTACCTTGTAGTTTCTTTGAATAAAAATTGTTCAGCTTCAGCATAGGTATACATTCAAAATATAAAATAAAGTTACTTGTTCAGCATAGGAGCACTCTGATCAAATTCCCTCAATTACTTAATTGTGTTGGGGTGAGGGACTTTTGTAAACAAATGATTGCAGACATTCATCCAGAGGCACCCGCGAAGTCCAGGGTTCTCCTTGCGTGGGTAGAAGCTGGACTCTCAGCTGAATTTGGGTAATTCCATTCCTTTTTTAGAGGTGTTATAAGTGGGGCTATAACATCGCCATCCTGTCAAAGAGAAAAATACCAGGAACAGAGAAAAGCCAGTTTTCAAAATTTCAGTGAAAGTCTCGGGTACATGCAGACTGATCACGTCCAGACCTACTTATTCTTGAGAAACCCCAAATTACATATACACCCTGCATTTGGGTCAAATTAGAAACACCAAAGTCCTAAGCAGATAAGAGCTTTGCTTAGCAAAAGCCACCAGACCTATTCTTTTCAAAGATGGTCAGAAGCAGCACACTGCCCAGTTCTTTAGCCCCTCCCTTCATACACCTTCACAGAATACATACTGTCCTGTTTTCCCAGGAGAAAGAGACTTCACTGGACTCCTGCTCCTCCCTTGCCTAGTCCCCCCCCCCCTTTTTTTTAACATTTTATGCATTGATTTTAGAGAGCGGAAAGAAGAGAAAGAACGAGAGAGAAACATTGTTTTGTTCTTCCATTTATTTATGCATCCATTGGCTGCTTCTTGTATGTGCCCTGACCGGGGATAGAACCTGCAACCTTGCATATGAGCTACCCGGTCAGGACCTTTGTCCAGTTCCCTCTGCAATACATGGCCCTGGTCTACAAGATGGCAAAAACAACAAAAACAAACCAAAAAACTAACAAAAAACCGGAAGAACAGGTATGTACCTACAGAACTTGAACTTTTCTCTGCAGAGCTATAACCTAGACCAGGGGTGGGCAAACTTTTTGACTCGAGGGCCACAATGGGTTCTTAAACTGGACTGGGGGGCCGGAACAAAAGCATGGATGGAGTGTTTGTGTGAACTAATATAAATTCAAAGTAAACATCACTACATAAAAGGGTACGGCCTTTTTTTTTTTAGTTTTATTCATTTCAAACGGGCCGTAGTTTGCCCACGGCTGACCTAGACTCATCAGCATAGACTCTGCCCAAAATGAGGAACAGTGTAAGAAGCAAGATGTTTTAATACCGGACTCTATCCTAAATAAACCATTCTTGAATTTATGAATAGATTCTTTTAGGTTATATAAGAGCGCAGGACCTTTGACAGCCTTTCGTGCACCAGGAAAGTGATGTCTGTGGTAGAACGCTGTGCTCATTCGCCTGTTTGCTCTCAAATCCACTCATCACCTTCCCTCTGCTCCACTCTGTATTATGGGGCTGCTCTTGTAAACTCCCATTTCCCAGCTCCCAACCTATTGGCTTCCAGTTAGTTTTGGCCCACGGGAGGCACTGGTGGAAGATTGCAAAAGAGGAGGGCAGAGCCCGGCCGGCATGGCTCAGTGGTTGAGCATCAACCCATGAACCAGGAGGTCACAGTTCTATTCCCAGTCCAGGCACATGCCCGGGTTGTGGGCTCGATACCCGATGAGGGGTGTGCAGGAGGCAGCCAATCAATGATTTTCTCTCATCATTGGGGTTTCTCTCTCTCTCCCTTCCTCTCCTTCCTCTCTGAAATCAATGTTAATTAAAACCCCGAACACCATATTTGAAAAGAGGGCAGAGAAGCCTGGGTATTTCTCTCCCTAACCCTCTGGCACAGGCAGCAGTAACTGTGACGCTTCTGTGGTTCTAGCTTCTGCATATTACCCCAGCACCTCAACTCCCACCTCCTACCCTAGAGCTTCCTACTGTTGTCTCAACCATCCCATTTGCTGGTTTAGCTCTGCCAAAAATTTGTATCAAAGGCCCCATTTTAAATTTCTTGTTTTGAATTACACTGGATCTGACTTGATACAGCTATGAAAAGAAGCCATTTAATTGCCATGATACTCATATTTGGAAGATCTATCTCAAAGTCAACATTATTTGTCTTCAAATCCATCTCTATTTCTACCAAATGTCCTTATTTCTACCCATTCTAATTTCAACTCCAGTGAATTTTATAAATGCAAACCTGAATATGAATATGTCATTCTCCTGCTTAAAACACTACATTGGCTCCCATTGTTCATGGCTTAAAGGACTATGCACAATGTCCTAGACCCCTCCCCTAAATGCACCATATTCTTTTGCATCTTCTGATCTCCCCTCCCCCCTTTAATTCAGCTGACTCCTTCTCATCCATCCTTCAGGTCTCAGCTTCTAAATCCTTCTTTATTTTATTTTATTTATATAGAAAGAG